GTAGATGAGTGGATAAAAAAGCTGTAGTACATTTACACCATGGAATACTATGGAGCTATAAAAAAGAAAGATCTCTTATCCTTTGGGACAGCATGGAGGGAACTAGAAAGTATTATGCTAAGTGAAATAACCCAGTCAGAGAAAGACAAGTACCACATGATCTCATTCTTATGTGGAATCTAATAAACAAAATAAACTGATGAACAAAATTGATCCAGGGACATAGAAGCCTGGAACAGACCGAGGGATCTCAGAGGGAAGGTGGGGAGGGAGGAGTGGGCGGGGAGAGATAAATCAAATAACTTACATATTTATAAGCATAACCCATGGACACAGACATTGTATGGGGAAGACCTGGGGGTGGGGTGGATGCCAGGTGGAGGGGATCAATGAGAAAAAACGAGACATCTGTAATACTTACAACAATAAAGATAAAATAAAAATAAATATACTTCATGAGGAATTTTAAAAACTGAAATTCCAGCCCGGCTGGTGTGGCTCAGTAGTTGATCAACCTGTGGTCCGGAGATCATGGTCAAGACACACGCCTGGGTTGGAGGCTTGAACCCCAGTAAGGGGCATGCAGGAGGCAGCTGATCAGTGACTCTTATCATTAATGTTTCTGTCTCTCTCCCTCGCCCTTTCCCTCTCTGAAATCAATAAAAATATATTTAAAAAAAAAAATTAAAAAATAAAAACTGAAATTCCTTAGCTTGTATTTTAAGTATCTGGTCTTACAAATCTCCCTGTAATGCTAACCTCCAAATATTAAATGATCTCACTGCCTTTCATTTAAAAAATAGAGGTGCGTTTAATTTTTCTTTAGTTGCTTTAAGTTTCCAAAATATGTCGAGGTTTCTAATTGTGAATTAAGAGGAAAAATGACTTTTAAAGGACAGATTCTGTCTGAAGGACAAAGGAATTTTTACATACCAAATAAACATATTTTAAAAATGTGTTCCTTTACTAACGCCACAAGCACTGAGCACCTACTTCTTGCCTTTGGTCAAACCCTGTCCTTTGCTCTGGGGACAGATGTTTCAGTCCCCCTCTTTGAACAACCTCTATGGATGTGTGGAATCATTAACAAAAATGTGTGGAAATTGCTACAATATCTTTGATCCTGGGCTCGGGGATCAGAGAGTAGGGTCACTTAATGGATCTGGTCTTCCTTTCATGTTGAGAGTTCTGGTATTTTCTAATTAGTTATCAAATCCAGTTATATTTAATACTACCAGGAAAAAGAAAATGATGAAACATAAAAATATACCTCACTCTCCCCTCCCACCCCCGCTTTCTGTCAGCCTATTACACATACCTGGAGACCTACTTGAATGCTTGCACTGAGGTAGATTGACATAACCTTCCTATGTAGAACTTGGACTCAGAGCTGCTTCTTCATAGTTGCTAATTGGACAAAGGGTATTGGGCACTCTGAGTCTCTAAGCATGGACACTGGGCTCGTGGAGGAAAGGTGGCTACTCATTGCACTCACAGGCAAATACTTTCAGCAGGATCTTTCCATTCGAAAATGCCTGGAATGATATATCAGTTCTGTGAATTCGGTCAACATGACATACCTTGTTTCTAAGTTGTGATTATTTAACACCGCTCACTTTATTTTCATTTAATGCCTGTGGAAGCTTGTGGCCTTATCACAGGGGAATATAAAGAGAGATGACAATGGGATTTTGTTTTCCAACTCCCTGCTAAGACACAAGCTCCGTTAACAGAATGAATGGAAGCTCCTATTGGCAACATTTGGAAAAATAAACCCGTTAAAATTGCTCCTGCTATAAATTTGGCATTTTTGCTTCAATATTTATACTTTCTTGTTTCAACGTGTTACTTCTTTTTTACATCATTTTTGTTTTCATTAGAATGCGCTCTACCTTATTTTGTTCATTTATTCTTTCTTTCTTTAATTCTCCCATCCTTCTAATCAGCCAGCCAGCCATGCTAAATACTAACAACTGGGCCAGGAGCAAGAGTTACAAAAATGAACATGACATCACTGTAGTTTTTAAGAGTTCCCAGCTCACCGGAGGAAGAAAACAAATGAATAAAACCTTTTCCCCCCCAATTTCTTTTCTTTTTAATTTTTTTCTTAATATTATTCAGTCTAACCTCATATTTTCCCATTTCAGCTCAACACAGCGAGTCAGAAACAAAAGAAGACATTTCTCTATCCATGAATTAAGTTCAGATAAAGTGCAGAAATCCCTTGCTAATGCAATCAAGTGTTGCCTCCAGGTAATTCCATGTCTTCGAGGCTTCTGGGGTCACCCTTTCATTTGACAGTCAAAACCAGTTCTTAATAAACTGAGCTCCTACTCTTCCTTTCATGGAAAGCTCTGTCTCTCCCCATATCTCCAAGGACTTTCATGCAGGCTGTCTCCTGAGTACCTTTCACTCTTATTTGTTACCATCCCATGTTTTCGAACCTCACTGTGTATCTTACCTCCCATGGTTGACTGCTCCCCTCTGTCCTCTCGGGGCCCAATACCTTCAGTACTCAAAGCACCGTTAACACTGAGCTGCTTTGTACAGCCTCCTTTTGCTGAAGGTATAAAAGACTATCATCTTAAAATTTAATATTCTCATTAGTACCCCGATGTTCTGTAACTATACCATGGAGGGATCTCTCCCTTTCTTCCGTTCCTAATATGGGCTTTTCCTCCTTGTCGTTAGAGACCTTTTCCATTTTCTTTCCTTCAGAATTCAACTATTTTCAAACCTCCACACTGTGAAACACGCTTCCAATTTCCTACCATGTAATTATTATAAAGCGTATTTGGCTCCCTGTTACAACTCTCCCATTCTAGATGATACCTAGTGTCCTTAGTCTTTACAACTAGAAAAATAGCTATCTAGCTGGGTTTCTAAAGCAAAATACTCACCTACTTCTGAGATGAGTATTGTCTCCCAGATGCAAAGTCTGTGTGTGTGTTTTTATACTCTTTACTTTCCTATTATAGTATTGTCACACTCCAGCAGATTTAGAACATATTTAAAAGCTAAAGATATACTGAGCTATAAAAATTACAACAAAGAATGATACAAATATAAAGTTGTGATGTTGTACTTTAAGTAATGCTAATAAAAATATTGATAAATGCAAGTTGCAAATGATTTGTAAAAACAGACAGACAACTTTTGGATTCCAAAGTTTTGTGTCTTAGAACTGTATCTATTTAGAGGTTGTTCAGTTGCTTCATTTGCTCACAGGTATTTGTGTTAAAGCCAGAATGATGTCACAACATACGCACATAGGCATAAGCATCCCATTCTGTTGGAGGTAGTAAACGATTCTTACTAAGGGTCTTTTAAAATTTCACAAATACTTGTACTTAAAAAAACTTCTCCAATTCATTTAATAATGATTTATTATTCCTGTGTTATCAATCTGCTGCAAAAATCACTGCAGCTGTGGTTTTCAAACTGTTATGTATAGCAATCACCTGGGAAGCTTGCTAAGTGCAGATTTCTTCTTCCCACAAGTCTGACATCTGATATGGAGGTAGGGAATTTGCTTTGTGTAAATTCCCCAAGTACATTTTAATGACTGTGATGTTTAGGCCACACTCCTTTTCTAGGAATATGGGCGGGCAATTAAATGATTTTCAAGTACAAGATGATTCATGTTACTTAAGAGTCTTAAGTACAACATAGTCTTAAGACTCTGTTGACTTTTTCCTGCCAACATAATAATTCTTTTTTTAAAAAAAAAAATGTTTTTCATTGATTTTTAGAGAGGAAGGAAGACGGAGAGAGACATGGAAACATGGATGAGAGAGAAACATCCATTGGCTGCCTCCCACACTCCTCCCACAGGGGACTGAGCCCATAACTTGAGCCCTGACTGAGAATTGAACCCAGTGACCGCTTGGTGCATGGGTCTCTTCTCAACCACTGAGCAACACTGGCTGAGCATAATAATTCCTTTAATAAACATAAACAAGTTCTGCTAGTGCTTGTAGAGGTAATAATTATACTTTGTATGTATACTAAAATGTGTATAATGATGATTTCTAATATTTGCATAGTGCTTTAAATTAAAAATACTTTAATATATATCTTTTATTTTCACGAATAAACTGTATTTGTTGTATGGAAGGTGGGCTGGTGAACTTGGATTGATTTTGAAAGGGCAATGTTGGGATGTCCCATTAAATTTACTACATGAATGTAGGTGGAGAGAGTTTGAGACTACAGTTAGTGAAAAAATGCTGATTGAGGAACACTGGAAACATGAAATAAAATTGCAGCCTACTTTAACTGCCTTATTTCTCTAACTGCCTCAGCGATAGAATTAATGTACTAAAACATTTGACACATAGCCTGAGAAGCTTGAGACTAGGTGGGGATGGTGGAGGGTGAGGGGAGTGACTGGGGGTCAATGTAAACACCCCGGCAGGGTTCTAATGACAAAAGATTCCTGGGGGAGTCGGAAACAAACATGACTATCAAATCTATAGATAATATTTTGAATTGATTAAGAAGTAATGTATGAATCAAATGCAATTGATTCTTCCTCCAGAGATGTTATCTTTTAAAGTATCTAGGGGGTCTTATTGAGACTGTTTTAAGAAGTAGTTGAATAATTAAAAAAAAACAACAACTGTATTTATTTGTACAAAGGGAGAGATGAGTGAAAAAACAAGGTAATATCTCACAATATGTCTGGGAAAGAGAAGTCAAATCATAGTGTCAAAACCAAGGGAAGCTGGAAGATATGCATGGGAAAATAAGTCACAGCCATGAAAATTACCTGCCTTATAATGCTGTATGATGCTGAACTAACTGGCACACTGCAGGGAGACAGTTCCATAATCTGAGTGTTTTTTTTAAGGCAGATAGCCCAAGTCCTAAGATTTTTTTAGTCTTTTTGTATATCTCTTACGCATTTGGTGAGATTTGTATCCCTCACATTGAGAATCAGCTTTAAAAAAAAAAAATTGGTTCCAATCTCTTCTTGAAACTTAGATCGTCTCAATGGCATGGTCGAGGGGCAGGTATTAGGGAGTAGCTTTGGGTTTTGGATGTACCCTATTATTTCCAAATAAGAACCCCTTTCCCCTTTGACTGCTGACCCCTTGCTCCCGAATAATTTATTTGTTTAGACCTTGAAGGAGCAGTTTCCTGGTGCTCATAAACATGCTAAATCAAAGAGCACTGGATACCTGCCAGCGACTTTGAAAGCCTCTGGTACTAACGGCAACAGTGCCATTCATTCAGACAACTGCGTTTCAACTTTTTTTGATCTTTAATATTAAGAGGTACACGATCCCTAGATAGATGTTTCAACATATTTGTATTCTACATTTGAGGGTTTGGCAGTTAATGGAATAGAATCTGGGGTGAAACTTCTCAGGTTAGTGTCTCAGGTACTATCACTTTGTATCTTATGACTTTGTTAAAGTGACTTAATATTCCAGAACTGTAAAATGCAGTAGGAATAGTGTTGTCGTAAGAATTGATATGAGTTAATTATGTAAATTGCTTTTAAGAGTGTCTGGTACAAGTAAGAACTATATAAGTGAGAACTTTTATGATTATTCTGTATTGGTAGCTGTGTGTACTCATATACTATTGAGTGAAGAAATGAGAGAGTTGAATAAAAAAAACCACACTTGCAACTTTATAATGTGATCCTTAAACATTTGGAGTTCTTTTTCAGGAGAGGAAGAAAATTGTCTTTTAATTTGTTTCTTAACTCTCTCTTTCTTTAGTCTTGTTGCCTATCTTCTCCCTTAGATTTGCCTTTCTGGATAAGTCTTTACCTAAATTGATATACTTTAAATAGTAACATAACTCAGTGATTTTTTTTCACATTCATACTTCATGATAACCAGAATATTTTATTTATAGGTAAAAACCTACACTGAAATTTGGGTGGCTTCCAAGTTTCCATCAGTGTGGACTGCACCTTATAGATGTAAAACTCGATCTAATACATGAAGACTTCTAGCATCATATACAGTCTCTGGAACCATCATCTACTTTTATTATTTTTTTCAGTCAGTTGCCCTTTAACATTCTTTGGGAATAATATTTTTGCTCTCTCCACAGGTATACAAAACAGTCAAGAAATTGTTCTCCAACATAAGTCAAAAGTTTTTACCTCTATCAGCTGATAACAGAACTTGAGACACATTATACGTGCAACTCTAATTGATGTTACCTGTACATCTCTTCTCTCGCCTGAGCAGCATTCGAAGTGAAATCTTCAAATATGCTTTTACTGTTTTTCCTCTACAGGGTTTGATGCTCTTAGGTTTGGGTCAAAGTATATGACGGTTTAGGTCACTCTCTCTTTTTTTATTTCTTTTTCCCTCCCTGCAGTTTATTGCTTTTGCTTCTTTATTCTTCATTCTGGTTTCAATCACGACCTTTTGCCTGGAGACCCATGAAGCTTTCAATATTGTCAAAAACAAGACAGAACCGGTCATCAATGGTACAAGTGTCGTTCTACAATATGAAATCGAAACGGATCCTGCCTTGACGTACGTAGAAGGAGTGTGTGTGGTGTGGTTTACTTTTGAATTTTTAGTCCGTATTGTTTTTTCCCCCAATAAACTTGAATTCGTCAAAAATCTCTTGAATATCATTGACTTCGTGGCCATCCTGCCCTTCTACTTAGAGGTGGGACTCAGTGGGCTCTCCTCCAAAGCTGCTAAAGATGTACTTGGCTTCCTCAGGGTGGTAAGATTTGTGAGGATCCTGAGAATCTTCAAGCTCACTCGCCATTTTGTAGGTCTGAGGGTGCTTGGACATACCCTTCGAGCTAGTACTAATGAATTTTTGCTGCTGATAATCTTCCTGGCTCTGGGAGTTTTGATATTTGCTACTATGATCTACTATGCCGAAAGAGTAGGCGCTCAACCTAACGACCCTTCAGCTAGTGAGCACACGCAGTTCAAAAACATTCCTATTGGGTTCTGGTGGGCTGTGGTGACCATGACTACATTGGGCTATGGGGATATGTACCCCCAAACTTGGTCAGGGATGCTGGTAGGAGCCCTGTGTGCTCTGGCTGGAGTGCTGACAATAGCCATGCCGGTGCCTGTCATTGTCAACAACTTTGGAATGTACTACTCCTTGGCAATGGCGAAGCAGAAACTTCCACGAAAAAGAAAGAAGCACATCCCTCCTGCCCCTCAGGCAAGCTCACCTACTTTTTGCAAGACCGAATTAAATATGGCCTGCAATAGCACACAGAGTGACACATGTCTGGGCAAAGACAATCGACTTCTGGAACATAACAGATCAGGTAAGGCACAGTTTCGAATGCATGCCATTAAATACTTTATAGACCAGTATGTCCCGTAGGTAGCAGGCAATCATTTTCATTTTCTGCAAATGTTCATGAGTTTTCAGTTCTTCTACCCCTTCACAAAACATGTGTTTGTGTCAGGCTTATAGATAGTTAGATTGTAGCTTTTCTAAATAAATTCCAAGTAGATGTCTGCATAGCTGGTCTATAGAGTTTTCCTGCTTTAGTGGGAATGCCCTTTGCTGATGGTGCCAATATTTTCTTTTGCCTGTGTGTTGCTTTTGTGCCAATGTTTCTTTGTTTCCCTGCATGGTGTGATGGTATGGTATTGGCCATTTTCCATCCTTCATCCTCAAAATGTGGATCTCCAAATCATTTGGCTTGGTGTGTTTGTCTCAGTTTTATCTCTGCCACATGGGACCATGCATCTCAACCTAATTCACAAGAAACAGTTACTTAAGAGGAATAGATGCTTACATTTCAAAGGCCTAAACATCAAAGAGGTGATATGGAAAGTAGCCCTTTTGATAACAAAGGTCTTCCCTAATAATATTCTGGAGAATTGATTAATTTTTCATTATTCTTAAATTAGATAGGATGTTCAACATAATTCTGTTGGACTGGGCAAGGTGCTGTTTAACCAACTCACCATTATTCTGGGGATAGATGATCTGTTTTGGCTTGTCAATGGCAACGTTGAATTTCCTTGTGGATTTCCTTTTTTATGCACTATGCATTGGGATCTCTTCCTTCCCACAACTGAAATTTAGATGATTGACTGCCTGACACCGGCTGAGTCCCCGCTCCTCTCCATTGCCATAGATAATCTAGAGTAGACAGACTAGATTGACTGTCAGTTGATATTCAATTTGCTAAAGTAATCATCAGTAGTATAAACTCTAATCCATTATGGCTGGTACAAATAAAATATTTTGTAGATGAAACTACTTAATTACCTTTTAGCCCACTATGAAAATTTAAGATATATATGCATTCACGATAACTTGGTTTTATGTAATCTTTTTCTTGTAGAAAAGTTATTTATGATCATCCCATGTGAACAATTTTGCATAATTTAGAAATAGCACCCGTTAAACAAAGCAAGCAAGCATGCAAACAAACAAGAGGCAGGTGACATTTTCATAGATTTCTTTCTTAGCTTCCAGAAGTTTTCATGGAGTAAGTAGAGGGATAGATGTGTCTGAAACTGAACTGCTTTTTAAAGATTTTATTCACAGTCATTACATATTTTTAGTAGATTGTTCTACTAATTCTGTCAATATATATCTGAAAACTGTAAGGCTAAAAATATTTTTATGGAAGGTGGAGTTTAGTAGGTGTTGCTGGCCTCGTCAGACTGTTCTCAGAGCACCCGTGCCATATTATGGAGGGCATGGAGAAAGGCCACGCTCAGCCGGGGTAAACACTTATAACAAGCTGGTATCCAGGCTGATAGCTTAGGACCATCTTTGGCAAGCATACAGAAGTAAAGTGTTTTTCAAGGGCATTTGGAGAAGTTGATCTTGTTCCATTATGTTCAAAACTATTTTGTCACTTCAAACTGGACACAAGTTCATCAGCTTTGGGACTATTTTTATTAAGATTTCTGGGAAAAATTACTTTCAGAAAATAATAAAAGCGTGTGTCTTAAAGAGCTGCGAAGGTAGATATTTACTTAGGAGTTTTTCCTTAAATGGGATCCACTTTTTAAAAAATTCCTTTTCACAGCAACTAGATAGCATGTCAAAAATTGTAAGGTATTCATTCGTACGCTACTTCATGAATCACACTTACTTTGAATTCATTATTAGTTTTGTGAGAGTAAATTTCTTATTAGATAGGCTCCAAAGGGGAATTAAAACTTCCCAAAGAACATTCCCCCCCCTTTCAGCACATTTCCATTTTGCTCCATGAAGATATTTGTGGTGAGTGACGGAAATCTTTTTCTTATCATGATGTGATTATCCTATTTTGTATATGGAGTGACTGCACTATGGACATTTGGTGTAAACTCTCTGTACTGTCTGTCTCGTTCCCTCATCCATCACTGTCTGTCAATGGGCATGGCGCTGTGACCAGTGCTATCAGGTGATGACAGTTCGGGACGTCAGTCGCCATTATCACCCCCAGAAAGGCTCCCCATCAGACGCTCTAGTACCAGAGACAAAAACAGAAGAGGGGAAACATGTTTCCTACTGACAACAGGGGATTACACGTGCGCCTCTGATGGAGGGATGAGGAAAGGTAGGCCTGCCTCTCAGATCCTCACAGGTGACAGGACTGAAGCGCTGCGGGTACATGGAGTCATGCACAATTCTCTCCCATCGTTTTCTGGGAAATACTAGTCATGGTGCTTTTTTCCATCCCTCATCACATCTTTTCTCATTCCAAATATTTTAAAATATAATCACAACAGTCTACTTGGCTATCATATCTGAGAGGCATTTCACCCTTGTTTATTTTTTATTTTTTGTTTTCCTTGTGTCTGGGAAGAAATGGAATGGAGTATTTAAAAATGAAGTCACTCAGCTCATTATTTTAATATAACATACTCAGCAGTCTTTAACAGTTCGTTTTTCCTACAATTAATAAAACTCACTAATTGGCTCTAGGCATATATTTGATAAGTAATTTATGATTAGAAAACAATAATAAGGCTTTTTCTCCAAGAAAAACATTAATTATACTCTAAATCTTTTAGCTAATGTTTGGACATTTTTTGCTGTCATTTATCCGAGTGTTAGAAGATTGAAAAGGTGCAAGATCCTGGGCCATTTGGGAAAGGTTTACCAATCACTTGAAAGGCTTTTTATGTATTTATAAAATAGGGTTACATAATTTCGCTTCAGGGCAATGATTTAAAATGTATTACTAGTTTTCAACCCACACTGAACTGTGCCTGGCACATATGTGATATGTTGAATGGATAAATTTTGTTGGGCAGGCTTCTTGGTTAAGGAATATAACAGAATATTCCTTATTCTGTTACTCCATCACGTGGTTCAGTTTTCCTAGATTGGGCCACTTGGACCATTTCTTAGGTGCTGATTTTGGTTTTTGTTTTGAGTAAACTTTACAGATATCAGACAATTGAACCTTTCTCCTCCTTGAGAACTAGTTTCGCGACATTACCCACCCTTGTCCAAGTGACGATATGCTCCTTGTTACCTCCTACCTTGATGGTTCCAGGTGTTTTATTGCCATAGCTCCTTTCTTCTGTTTATTGACAGAATGGGGAAAAAATTATAATAATTTCTTATGCAGTGAACTAAATTTAAATGAAAATCCACTCCCAAACTCTCATATTAGTGCAACTGAATTTTTAAAATATTTTGCTCTTCACTATTCATTGCAGTTTCTCCCTATTGAATACATTACCATTTTAAGCCTCAGATATTTATTTTGTGATTCCCTCTCTCTTTGAAATATCTCATTACCCATGTTGTACTTCTCTTTCATTTCTTCTGAATGCCCTGTGTTGCGCTATCTGTCTCCATGCCTTTGAGTCTCAGAAGACAAAGGGCTGCCTTTGTCTCTTCAGTATGCAGTATTTCAAATCTTTCTTCATTTCAATTACTTCCATTCTCTGCTTCTATTCCTTTCACCAAAATGTATTTCAGTTATCAGAATATGTTTATTTGCTATTTTACATGTAAATATTATATTAGAACAATTTTTAAATATTTTATAAATATAGTTAATATCCTATTATAGTACTTGAGCAAAATATATGTACATATATTAAATAATCATCATAATAATATCTAATGATATCTTATTAGAACATAATATTTTAAGTGCATTACATATCTTAACTCACTATTAAGCTATATACATGTATATATGGGTATATATGTATATCTGTATTTATATGTAATTTGTGGTTAAATTTACATACATTTTGAGCATTTTCTATAAAGTTCACAGGCAGTGTTTATGCTAAGCTTACATGTTTAAGAACGTAGAATTTTTTTCTTCATGTTAAACAGTATTTTGAATTTTAAACAAAGATCACATATAAAAAAAACTTTGCAAATTATAAAGCACTATGTAAACAGAGTTTTTTCATAAAATGGCAAAGTTTCATGAGCAAAGCAATTAATAAGATATTTAATGTGTATGGAAAAGTTATACATACAATGTTATTTCACAAATTTTCTTTATCAATGAGAACATTTTTAAAAATTCATTATGAGCTTTTTATTCTTTGTCATTTCTCACCATAATCAACTTTTTTCATTCTTGGCTAATTCTTTTGGAGCTGTGTGTTTTTCACCTAGGTCTGGTAACACTTCTGGCTCACTTCACTTAATCATCTCTTAGTGTGCTATCTTGTCATATCTATCAGGAATTCATTCCTCTCTTCTGTTCCCTTTTATGTAAATTATAGATTTCCTTTTATGTAGATTATAGATTTCTCCTATTACTCATACTCAGACATCTATCTCCTGTATGATTCTTTTTTTTTTTTTTTTTTTTTTTTTTTTTTTTTTTTTACCTTTTAAGTTGGTCTCTCTACTGATTTGATTTTAGAGTTCTGAAAATTCTTCCCTATATAGATGGAAAAAAGATTATTGGATTAGCATTGAATTATTTTTTCTATCAACAAACATGAATATAGTTGGGCGTATATTAAGAAAACTTATGGATTCCCTAAAAGAGTAAACTTCCAGTACTTGGAGCTTATGATTTTATTTATGCAGTAATTTTTAAGAAATCACATTTCATAAACAAAAATATACCCATTGATAGTACATGAGTAAGGAGTTTTAATATTGCCCCAAATAAACACATTCTCTTAAGAACTATGTAAAATGCACACCACTGTAACCACCATCTAAATATAACTTACATTCATTATTATATTTTTAAACATTCCATTGAATAAAAGTTTGATGGGAAAATTTTTTATCCGATTTCCTAATCAGCAATTAACCTGCCGAATAAAGAAAAATACATTTATATGAATACCTATAATTTTACCAATGAGATACTTGTGACTAAATTAGAAGGGAAGTCTTTTCAAATGAACTCAGAAATGATAGTTATTAAAAAGAAAAGGATTTATAAACAAAACAGTATTTATGCTAAAAACTATAATTCAGAAAAATAACTGAACATTTAGAATGACAGCCAAGATTTACATATAACTAACGTGATTAATATAAAACTGTCATACAGATTTTTGCACTTTTGGATTCCTGTAGGGCATGTGGAGATTTGGGGAATGAGATGTAAACTTCTATATGGGTGATTTATAGGTATTAACAACCCTTTTGGCTCACTCATATTCACAGGCTTGCTTTTAATCAAACCCAATCAATGTGTATGGCGAAGTTGCCATTTTCAGGTGACACAGTCAACCAGGAGAAATTATTCTTTCTGCAATTTCCAAAGTTATATTTCCAATCATTTTACCAAAGGGTAGTAATTACTAGCCCTCCAGGCACAAGAAGTTTCCTATGTAAGGATGAATTACCTGGAATCCCTTTTTAATCGTTTAGGACGTCTTCCCATGAACTATTCCATCATTCACCAGAGTAGAATGAAATATATACCACCTCCTGTGTTTTATAGCTCAGAATACTAACGACATATATTGGCAGACAATTCTTTCATTAGCAGAAATCATTTCCTGGAGAACTTTACCATCGTTAATTAATGACACAAATTTCCATCTACAAAATATCAAAGAAGACATCTGTTCTGCTGAGAGTTTAGATGTGTAGGCGAGGAAGGGGCTCGCCTCCAGTGCAGCCTCGCGGGGCACGGAGCTGCTCTTGCCTCCCACCCGTGTCTGTCTCGGGCCTTGTAAATCAGATAATCACTAAGGCACTTCAGTCGCCTCCCTTCTCCCAGTGAAAAGGCCAGAGAGAGCAGTGGCTTCTTCCCCAGAAGTCCCATGAGTTAAGGAGACAAGTAGCTGAGAGGAATAGAAGGAAAGGAAAGGAAACGGGCCCAGTTTCTTGGTCACCAAGCACCCTGAGGCTAATCAGGGCCCAAGGAGTGAACCGTAGGTCTGCGGGAGACAAGAATCTTGTTCACTGGGATTGGATTTATTTGCTCAGCTTTGGCTGTCCAGCAGAAATTTTTTTTTCCTGCTATACAACACTTGTTCAATGGAGCTGTCAGAACATTTCTTTCCTAAGGGGTATAATAAGACTTATTTTTCAGTCAATAGTTGTTCTTTTAAGACGTTTCACTTCTACCTGTATACTAGGTATTTCCTACCTCACTTGACTACCTAGAATCTTTTCTAATAAAAAGTACTACAATATATGAATTCTTCCAAAGGTCACCTTGATGGGGTGTTTCTTTTTCAAAAATTATATTTTATTTTTATTTATTTATTTTTTGATGGGGTGTTTCTTGCGTAGCTAAGGTGAACCACTGGGTTAAAGCTTATGAGAAGGACCTTTTATTCTGGAAGTCCATGACTATCATGAATGAAAGGTTAAAATGCAAAATAATAGAAAGAAAAAGTGAGTTAAATTTAAATTGTTCTCAATTCCTGGTGGGGGAGTCAGCTGAAAACATCATATAATAAAATTCAGACTTTTATTCACTGAAATTATGATTCAATTTGTACTTTATCCATTTTCTTTTTTTCTTTACTTTTTTATTGAAAAGATTAGATATGGGCATTCATTCTACATCATCTAGATAATGGCATCAAATGTCATTATTTGAGAATCATTCTTTTATCTCCATAAAGCTGGAAGATTAAATATGCTATAAAAAAAAAGTTAGGCATTTAGAGTTAAGCATGCTTTAATAGCTAAGTAAATACTAAAAAATCAAAGGAGAAAATATAGCCCATTAAAAAAATTTTTTTTTCAGGAATTTGTTCTGAAATTTAATAATATTAGCCATGTGTATATCTTACTTAAGTTGCTTTGCCTAGTTGTAAGAGTGTTCTGGTATTGTATATGCCCAAATTGCATCAATACAAACTATAATCTAGAAAAGATAGATTTTTGAAGTATTGCAACTGTAATTTGTGATAGCTGGTCTACTCTTTTGGGAACGACAGCTATAGTGAACTTCAGTATTTTTAGAGTTAAAAATTGTCTCAATATTGAATTCTTTGTAAACAAATTCTTTTTTGAGTTCAAAAATAGCTTTTGATTATTCTGCATGGTATTATTTGTGTCTATTTTCTGGTTGAATTCAACTGATATCTGTGCCTTTTTTTATAAAAGGATATGAAAAATCCCGAAGCTTAAACAACATAGCAGGCTTGGCAGGCAATGCTCTGAGACTCTCTCCAGTAACATCACCCTACAACTCTCCTTGTCCTCTGAGGCGTTCTCGGTCTCCCATCCCATCTATCTTGTAAACCAAACTGCATCAGTCGGCTAATTCGTATTAATTCAAGCACTGTCTACCCTGTAACGGAAATAATTAAACATAGAGTTACTCCAACCTCCATTAATACAGTACAAATCTGCATGATGTTATTTGAAGTCAGAAATGCCATTTGGGTAGCTAATGAATCTTATCCTGGCTTTAAAGATTATCTAAAATGGTGGTACTACTTCTCCATATTAATTGCCCTGATCTCCTCTGGCAATAAAATAACAGAAAGTATCAGATACGGGCCAGTACACTAATACATAAACATATTTTCAGGGAGATATACTTAAAACAGTGTGCTTCCAAATGCCAATCACTTCATTGGACCTTCATTTCTGTGACTCTCTAAGCCATTCTGAAGATGTCTGGGATCCTATCTTGCTTGCATATAACGTGACTTTGGTCAGCTCATTTGCATGGACCACCTTGTCTCTGTCACCTGAAAGCAATGCCACAGAGTTCAGGGACCATGGATGGCTCGGAATATGTGTACTTGCATCAAAAACCATCCTGCTGATATGAAACTGGTCGACTGTTCCTGCATGTTGAATGGTGGGGCAGGGAGGGCAAGTTTCTCTTTGACATTTTTTTTTATTCTTTGAAAGATTTGTTTTAAATAGCTTAATTTCATGATTGATTTACCTTTCTTCAAAAATGCTGTATTGGAGTTCTGAATGTCTCTGGTTGTTTGCACACAGATAACTACAAAGAGGTTGTCATTACTGGTTACACGCAAGCCGAGGCCAGATCCCTGACTTAATGGCTTGGGGAAGGCACAAAACATGAGCGACAGGTAACTGCCAGCCAGGCTTGCATTGTTTAAACAAGAATTGCTGCTTGATCCGAGAGTCATTTTTATTTCAAATCCCACGATTTGTTATTATTTTCAGAGGCAGAGTGCCAAATATTTCCCAAAGCTCTCATGCCTTTTTTTTACCTCCTTCCTTTATTTTTATTTATTAATTTATGTGCAAACATCAAAGAGCATTGTTGTTCACAGGAGGCTTTCTTGACCAGCCTTAAGTTTCTGACTCACAAGAATAATGAGATTTTCAGTCAATGTTTAATCAGGTGCTTTGTCCTGATTGTTGTTCTGTCTGTCCGTCTTAGCTCCCTGTCTTAACTGTATATGCCATCTGTCTCCATAAAGCACAAAAATGCCTTGATAAGGTGTTCATGATTTTAGTATTGGGTCTTCTCCCCTGCCCCTTGCCTTTTTTGCTACTTGAAACAGCTTCCCTGCTTCGTGTATAAATTAAGGATGCCCGGTAGGCTGAGTTAATCAGTACTATGAACCTCTTGATAAACAGAATTTAGCCAGCAGCAATGTCACCATTGCTTTTGGTTGCCTGCTGCAGTGTCAATTTCTGCTCCCTACCAACCAGCATTCATCTCTACACTCCAATGAAACCCCTAGGGAGTCTTATTCAGTCCAAGTGAAGGAAATTCTGTTTCCACATCCCCATGAATGCAATAGCAATAGTGTATCTGGTGTATTGGGTATGTGAGGGAAGAAAAATGCCATCATATATATTGAGGGATAAACGATATTTCTAAGGCATTCGGGATCATTGAGATTGTTGATTAACTTCTAATTCTTATGTTTATTTTTTGTTAGGAGGACAATTATCACTTTTATTCTTGGCCACGTAACTTGTATTACTCTATATCCCCAAGTCCTAGAGCATGACCTGCATGTCAGAAATCTTGTACAGCAATGTATTTACCCAGACGTACACATGTGATATTTAGAGATTCAGTGATCCTCTTGATAACACCACACATAGAAAGCTATAATTGCACACCACTTTATGGTAAAGGAATTAATATACTGTCTGGTGCTGCTGTTATTGACTGCAGTGTTGTACAGAATTTATCATGGATTTTTGACTGCTGAAAAAGGGACAGTGGAATTTAGCCATACCAAGGACTGTACTGGAAACAGACTTCTGCTGCTGAATGTGCCCTGATGTGACCAGGTTGCACTTGGAAGATGTCCCCAGGTCTTCATGAAGCATTTAAAGCTCATAAAAGAACTGTGGCTGGAACTCATTTGGTGCTCCCCATATGAGTGGTCTGCTTGTGGACTGGCCAGTGTCAGTGAAACAACTGTAAATACCAACATGTGTGCATGGGTCAGTGGTTTTGGCCAACTCACATCAAAGGAAGCCAAATTCATGATCCACATCTCTGAAGCTTCAAGTATGGCCCATAACTCTGTGAATTACCCCTCATGGGCCCGCAGTAGATTGTGCTGTGAATCATCCAAGGCAGTGATTTTGGTGTAGTATTGGTCTGTCTTAATTTCCCTTATTTCTTCTTTGTTGGTTGGATCCATGAACATTGACTGTATCATTTTCTTATAAACCACTTATGCTATCAGCCTGTCATATTATGTTGTGAAATTTTCAGTGCCTATTTATCAAAACTAACTTATTTTTAGTCACATATTTTTTAGTTCTGGAAAATCTCTATGACAAAAACACACGACATTATTCATAGTTTGTCTTTTGTCATTGTTACCTCAATTATAAATATTATAGAAAAAATTCTGGCAATGAGAGTATTTTTTTACTAAATGATCAAGGAGCAATGTTAGTATATAGAAGAATATTAATCAAATTATATCCTCAAATGTATATTTTGCATAAAAGAGATATTCTTCAATCAATTACTTTTTTGTGAGTTTTGTGGTAAATGAAGCTTGTACTTGTCTTTAAAACTGTTGTAGTTGAAACTGTATAAATATTCCTCATCTTGCTTAATCAGTATTTCTGAAATCTACTAGTTCCCCTGGGATTCTGAATATAACATATAACATACTTATGAACCCCTGTGTCGTGGACCTCTTGTGAGCATTTCGAGTGCATGCACAACCTTGGTGATAACCACGAAAATGTAACTAACTGAAATGCAGAATAAAAGGCAAATAAGCTGGGGATCAGCTGGAATCCTATCTGATTAAATTATTCATATTCTTTTCTGAGCTCTTCTCTTTGTTTTGGAGTCTTCAACAGGTTTTACTATTTTTATGTTTCATGGTACCAAACCAGACACTCATACATAAAGAAATTGGGATGAAAGGACTTATGACTATGTACAACTCTCACTTTCATTCAACTCTCAAGCATGTAGCCAGTGTTTTTCTCTTCTAAGTGTTTTGTTTCTCTAAATTTTCTTATAATTTGAGATGGCCAAATTATTAACTATTATGGCATTGATATTTATATGGCACTTTATGACTAATACCGAATTTTCACTTACAGTTTTCAACTTAATCAGCATGGAAATTCTGAAACTAAATATTTTTGGCTTTTATTTTATTGGTGATTAAGTTAAAGATCAGAGAGACAGAACTGTTCACTTATATTTTTGCCACAGTTAACTTTCCCTGGCATAATTTCTCATAGTTTAAGTATTTACGGAGCGTCTAGTTGTAAACACCTTATCTTCTAAAGATAGCAGCTGTCTCACTTTGGGATATGGCCTTCTGTTTCAGCAGCACACCACAGATAGCTGGCTTTCCATTTATATTGTGGGGTTACATGTAAATTTACCGCGTAGCATTCTATGGAACCATAGGATTAAGGGAAGGTAAAATGAAAAAGAGAAATAAGGTTGGCAAATTCAACATTTCCTCATCACACATCAGCAGAATCTTTTCTGTATCTGAAAGTGCTCAGTGTTGATTTTTAAGAGACTGTTAAGAAACTGAGCTCAGAAAGGGGTTATCTGTCTAAATATAATTACCAATAATATGTTTTTATTGTTGGTATAAGAATGTAGGATTTACTATAAAAAGAAAAAAATATGTCTAAATGGAAAATGATACATTTTAATAGATGATAATTGCCATCAGGTTTTGATTTAAAATAAATTAACTATAAATGAAAAGGGAAGATATTCATTTTATCTTTGAAATAAATCATAAGACAGACTAATGAAATAGCAGTAGTGAACTTGTCTTGGAAAGAGACAATGAATATGTTAAATGCTGTATTGCAGAGCAGGAACTTTAAAGAATTTATAACGTACTTGAAGACATTTAGAGCTAAATGAATCTATTAAAATATTAAAATCCCTAGTAGTTTATAATGTTATAATGATTAAAATAGGTGGCTTAAAATTTTTTCTTATTGAAAAAGATTTAATTCCTTCCAATTTCCCCTACCAAAATTTAATTAATTGTTTAAATGCTTCAATATTATTAAACTATAGATATATATTAATTTTCTCTAAGATTGGTTCAATATTATTAATACTGATCCTAAATTTTATAATTTCTTGTTCTCCTTTTAACTCTGCTTTGAGGTTATAATATTTTTACTATTGTCTAAAAATTAAATAATTTAATTGAATTAGTATTACAATATTTTAAAAAATTTATTACATTGTCATGTCAAAGTGAAGGACAAGTAAGATCTTTAATTCTATTGTAATCTCCGTCTAGAATCTCAGGTAACCTAATACTCATTTTTTTTCTTAAATAAACTTTATTTTTTAGAGCAGTTTTAAGTTCACAGCAAAATTCAGCTGAAAGTACAGAGTTCCCATCTACCCCCTAACCCCCCTCCCCCAAATAAATCCTCCCCCGCTATCAGCATCCTACACCAGGGTGATATATTTGTTGCATCCATGAAGTTACAAAGGCATAGCATTATCACCCAAAGTCCTTGCCTTACATCAGGGATCACTCTTGGTGTCCTACGTTCTATAATGAAACGTATCCAACATTGTAGTATCATACGAATAGTGGCACTGCCCTAAAAATTGTCTGAGCTTCACTTACTCATCCCTCTCTTCCCCTTAACCCTTGGCAGCCATTGATCTTTTTACTGTTTCCATAGTTTTATCTTTTCCAGAATGTTATATAGTTGGAATCATACAGTATGTGGTGTTTTTTGAATTGACTTATTTCACTTAGTAACGTGCATTTAAGATTTCTTTGTGTCTTTTTGTGGCCTGATTGCTCATTTCTTTTTAGTGCTGAATAATATTCCATTGTCTGGATGTACCACAGTTTATACAGTCACCTACTGAAAGACAACTTGATTGCTTCCAAGTTTTGACAATCATGAATAAAGTTGGTTAAACATTTGTGTGCAGACTTTATGCATATGATTAAGTATCTTATTAATATCATGTATTTTGGCNAAATGATCATTTCTTTTTAGTGCTGAATAATATTCCATTGTCTGGATGTACCACAGTTTATACAGTCACCTACTGAAAGACAACTTGATTGCTTCCAAGTTTTGACAATCATGAATAAAGTTGGTTAAACATTTGTGTGCAGACTTTATGCATATGATTAAGTATCTTATTAATATCATGTATTTTGGCAATGATCATTTATTAATGGTCTGTTATTAAGTTCAAAATATAGAAATTAGCATGAATTGAACATTATAGATTTTATAAATATCATGGCCTTATTTACCTTTCATGTTAGCTAATTACTAACTAGCAGGCCAGTCAAGTATCTTTATTAGATATATCTTTTAAAAAAATTTGTAATCAAATTTGAAGTATCATTGTTTTTAAAACTGTGAATATATTGTAAACCATAGACCTTAATATCTTTATTTTTAGTGTACTTCTCACAATAAAAAAAAAAAAAAGAGACAAGGACATTCCATGTAATTCAAAATCAAGTAATTTACTTTGGGGGGGTAATGAACTTTTTTTATCTTTGTTAAATTTGGAAAACATTAAGAAATTTTCTTTATAAGCCAGAAAGAGATATTATCACACCAAAATGATTAAAATACTTTGGCATTAGTAAAAATTTTACATTTCTCTTAGGAGTAGTGAAGTGACATAAAACAGCTAAAAATGCTACCATATGTAAAGGATTCTTAATATGATTTGAATGAAGTAGTTTCCAAAGCCTTTCCTTAACCAATGGCCTCAGTGATTTTATTATTTTCTTTTGAGATCCCTTAGCACTTATCTAAAATGTTATGTAAAGACTATTCTTTCTTAATGGCCAAGAGAGAGCTATGTTAAAGATAAGTTTAACTTGCTGATCAAAAACAAAACAAAACAAAACAAACCTGAAACTTTATTGCACAAAATTAAGCATGAAGCCAGCACCTAAGAACTAACCTTGAGAGCTCACATTTTAACAATAACTCAATCTCTCTGGAAACCAAAGGCACTAGTTTAAATGCTCTACACGCTGTTCTCCACTGTTGTAGTAGCTGTTTCTTATGCCACTGGATGCTGGCAGGAAGCCTAAATCTGCGGGAATTCTGGATGGCTGCCTGGTAGAAAGCTCCAGAATCTAAGATAATTATGATTAAAATACACACTCATACACACAGCTGGATATACAGAGATAAAGGAAAGATACACAAGAGAAGACTTAAGATAAAGCCGCAAAAACTAAATATTGCCTGAAGCAAGGCCATGTTGTGTGAAATAAACAAAAAGACAAGGCTGTGGTAAAGAAGTAATTCTATAATTCTGCTTCATAAACCATATTAGAATAAAATTTTGCACAAAAGGACCAAACATTCTTTTCATTAGAGATCTTGAGAAATTTGCATTGCATAACACAGGCAAGAGAAGGGACCACCAATTTTCACATTCCCTAGTGAAGGATGAATTTACACAACTTTATCTTAGATGTTCTTTTAAATTTAATTTTGTTATTTCAGTTTTGACAAAGAAATATCCTTTAAAAAGTTTTTTAAAAATATATCTTCATTGATTTCAGAGAGAGGAATAGAGAGAGGTAGAAACATCAATGATGAGAGAGTCATTGATCTGCGCCTCCTGCACACCCCCCACAGGGATTGAGCCCCCAACCCGGGCGTGTGCCCTGACCGGGAATCGAACCGGGCTCTCCTGGATCCTAGGTCAATGCTCAACTGCTGAGCCACGCCAGCCGGGCTATCCTTTCTTTATGTTTATATTAATTTTATGGTCACATGCTTTCAGAATAAAGTACTGACTATTAAAATATAAAATGTCGCTGACTTTGATTTGTAAAAAATGTATTTGCACAAGTTTTTGCTCCCTTATTTGTTACAAGAGCACAACTAATGATAGAGACTACTGAGACCATACTGCCTCTCGATGTAAAACTTCATAATGGTACCAATGAGAGTTGTAGGAAAAATATTATTATAAAATTTATTTTCTAAAACTAATTTTTGTGGTTTACCTCTATCTACTTACGTTTTTGGATCTGATAATTTTATGCATAACAACCGTAACACTGAGTGTCAACATATTAAAGTAGAAGAAGACTGTTTGCCTTTAATAGCAGCTTTTCTTGGCATTAAATGTTCATGTACTGACTTGTGGTTGGTTGGGCACGTGGAAAAAAGAGAATACTTAGAAGGCATTCGCTGAAATATGTGGTCCACTAGAGAGCCACAAGCAGAAATTTCTGTAGCCTCACACCATCAAATAAGCCGCGTCTAATCATACCAGGTTAAATATGAGACTGTTTCTTATATTAAATACGAGGTTAAATATTAAGAGACACTGAATTACCAATCAATAGTTATGACCAAGATGCCTTAACATTCCCCTCAGCTTGATTAAATTTATACATGTTTGTTCCTGACTATAGGGTCCTGACCTCCCTTGTCTTTAGAGCACTTACTTTAGAAAACTGCTACTGTAAATTCTTTCTCTGCCCCTTGGAAATGTAAATCTCCCAGCTCTGGCTAATTGTACAACCCAGGAGTGTCTTTATCCAGGGCCAGGGAGCCATTCCTTTGAATTGAAAAATTATGAAAAATAAGACCTTTACCTACCAGTTTGTGGGAGGGGAGGTGCCTAACTTCGATTAAGTGCCAATTAGCAAAGGCAAATGGCCTAATCACATTGACCACCCTCCCCCGTAATGTCCTCCAGTGCTTTTCCTCTAGTCACCCCATCACTTACGAATTCTCCTGCTTTTGTTTCAGCGGAGTTGAGTTCAGTCTCTCTCCCTTATTGCAACAGTCTTGAATAAAATCTTATTTGGCC